AAAACGGCATTCGTTACATTTAACGTAACATGAGCACAAAGCCACTTATTCAAGAACATTTCTGAGGAGATCATAGGATCATAAGACATTTAATGACGCCCTCAAGGATAACAGGGTTCTGACAATTTTTACATAAGTAGGTGAGTTCTGATAAAAAATTAACAAGATAAAACGAAACGCTTTTCGAAGTACACTGAAGGAAAAATGTTGGTTTAAAAATAAGAACAAACTAACTCGATTTAAGTATATAGAATCTAAATATTTCATTCTTGAAATAAGAATTTCGTACTCAAATCAAATTTGATGCTTCTTTATTAGGAACACGAGTCATGGTGGAATAATAACAAGGTGTTGTCAGTAACTTAACCTCACTTTTTCGGCAGGTCTATTCCGGTCACGCATTTTAAAGTAGTAGAAAAGGTACTAATTATTTACTACTTTTAATCCGTTGGTGCAAACTATTTCAAATTAAATGTAGAAAAATGTATAATTACAGGCTTATAAGCCTGAATATATGTTTGTATCGGCAGCTCCACACAACTTGGACATATATAGTAACTTTAAAAAAGTAAAGGCTGTAATATAAGGCAATTTCCTATAAGACTGTAAATTATTTTTTAAATAGACTAAAACACATAAATGTCGATAATATAAGCGAATTCCTAATTTAACCATGCAGCCACTCTATTCTAGTGTATCAGTAGTCCATTTGGTTCAATGTTATGACAATGCAGCAAAATCTATTTGATATAAAAAATCGCCGTTCCATACGATTTTTGTGTACGTCTTTTTCCATTGATAACCACGATATCTTTTATTTTTTTACATTTTGAGGACAAAAATTATACAAATCCATCAATTTTAAATATTAATATTGTTCTGAAAACACCAAGTTATTTAAAAATCGCTATAAAACGAATTACTAAAATGGAATATTTTAGATACTATTTCGCAACTAATAGTAGTATAAAAATTAAGATCGGCAGCACTGAAAATAAGCATGCCGATTTTGTCAAAATTACAACAAACACGTCGCTACTAACAACACCTTGTTATTATTCCCCCATGAACACGAGTATTTTATTTTAAGAAACATTACAAAGAAAAAGGTTGGATTAGTTGTCACACTTTGATAGATGTATGTATATGAAAAATATTTTCACAAAAAGACGCATGAAAAAATGAATGATATATCGCTAGCTTAGAAAGAAAAGTTGCTAAGTCCCATTTTAAAAATTTTACAGGAGAGGAAAAAATATTCCTATAGCCATTTTCTTTAACTATGTCGCAATACTTTGAATCAAACAGTTTGCGCGTTTAAAGCAAAGCAAAACTCCATAAGAATCAAAAGGATTCGATATTTATTAAAAGATGTCGTATTATTTTAGCCTTATCGGATTTGTGGTGCTTATTTTGGACTTAGCAATTTTTCCTTTTATTGCTTATGATGAGGAAAAAACAAAACGAGTACCTTTATAATTTTCGAAACGATGCGTATTCAATTTCTTTAGCCTCCTATGTCAAAATATGAGTTTTCATAAAAAGTGGACTTAGCAACTTTTCACTCTAAGCTAGCGATATGTACACTTAATTTTTTAAGTTTGCAACATCTTAATTCCAGTATTTGGTACTCAAAAATATCATACTTAATATAAAATTTGTGTTCTCTATTTTAGTATTTTCAGCTTAGTCCGATTTTAAGTTCGGAAATGCTAAGATCGAATACGAAAAACCTGATTCCTTCTTTGAATGTAGTATTTGGGAGAATTTGTAGACTTTGCCACAAACAGTTGACCTGCGGCGTTGGAAGAAGAAATTTCTTGGTGAATTATTATTTAAACACTTAAATGGGTGTTCATTCCTATGGATGCGGCATTTTTCATAGAAATTATGGGCGTCCTTCGGAGTCTAGAGGAAGAAAATGCGACAAACAGTGCATGATAAGGTTTTCCAAGAATCGGATTTACTGTTACGGAAGAATGGTCTGTTCCCGAAATTACAGTACAACTGGGAAGGGTCACACCATCTTGTCAATGGCTAAATGACGTAGTGTATTGTATGCAGACCGTTGAGAGATCGAGAAACGTAATGAAGGTGATTCACTTGGACATAAATACTGTTACAACATTCCAATAGAAAAGTTAAACATACCCGTTTGAACATAAGAAACCGTTAACCATTATTTGTTCCAAAACCAGTGGTGGACTTTCCAGCAGGATTCTTCGTTTGCTTGGCAATACTGTTCATTGCAGAATGACCAGCAGTTGGGGATAATTTACACGTCGATTTTGACGGTGAAGAAAAAACGATGACTCATTCTATTTACAAGGCGAAATTTTGTTGCTTTAATTTTTGTCTGAATGCATAAGTGGTCCTAGAGCATAAAGATGCATTTCAGCATTAAGAAGAGAATAAATAAAAAATGTCGCCTTCGTTTTTTTTTGGCGGTTTTGGCTCGATATGCAAATAAATAAATAAGAAGTAATTTTTAAGCAAAAAACATAACCGACTTCAATGCTCATACAAAAATTTAGGAGTACCGTTGTTTCTTCATGATCCAATGATCGGATCTAAACCAAACTAGTATGGGGCCAACCTTGAGGTGCCACCTCTCTCATAAGAATTATCGGAATCGGTTCACGTGGTTCAAAGTTATAGTATAGTTAAAAAAAAATAGATCCGACGAATTGATAGCCTCCTCCATTTTTTGAAGTCAGTTAAAAAAAAGGTGTTTATGGGAGCGGGAGCGGTAGCGAAATAAAATACCGGAGCGTAGCTAGAGCGGAGCGATGAAAAAAAACATCACTACCGACGGTACTGACTCCATTCATTTAACATTGGGTCGGTAACAATGTTTAACTGGGGATTAGTGTTAACCAGAGATGGTGCAAACGGCCCTAAATGGTTGTCATATTAAGGCCCGATTTCGGATGGCAACCCTGTGTTTGTACCAAACAACCACGATTGATAGATAGGTTGTTTTATCAATCTTTCCAAACAACAATCAGCTGTTCAGCACAAAATGTAAACAAACATAAATGCAACAAAAATTTTAAGGAACAAGCAACAGTGTTACCACTTTTTTGGCATATTTAAATGAAGTTAAATCTGAAACCCAACGAAAGCTAAATGACATTTAAATAACAATCCAAAATTAAACTTAGCGCCGTTTAAATATTCATCTCAAATCGTCTCTAAAAATCGTTTATGCTAGAAACATTTTTGAATAGAGTTGCCACCTGTCCACAAAAAATTTGTTTCTTTTTAAATTTTTTCCGATTACCTTTTATTGTCGCAAACAGTTATTTTCAAAACAAATCAAAGTAGTACGAAAACAAAAAAAAGCGGCAAGCAAAGAAAACGCATTAAAACAGTAAATGCACATAACAGACGACGAGTTTTGAGGAAAAAAACATTAACAACACTAAGAATGTACGCGCATTGGTGTACATCAAATAAATGCATGTACACGGCTTGAGAACAATAATAAACAACAGCAACAACAACAACATGAACAAGTATAACAATGCTCGTTGGCAGCAACAAAAGGCGCGTTGTAACGCGTCGATTCAATTAGTAATTCTAAAAACGGTCAATAACGCCTTTTGCATCCACAATGAATTGTGTGCCTGGTTAGCGGCATTAATGCGAGCAAAGCGCGCGGCCAACTCTCCAACAACAAGCAATAAACATACAATAATCGGCAGACCAAAGCCACAACCAGAGACAGAGCCAGAACGTACTTGAGAAATGTAGCAACAAAAAACAAAGAAAGAAACACAAAACTACTAGCAAGCAGCAACAAACTAACTAACTGCACGTGTGCAACAGTTGCATGCAACAACAGCGCGGCGGGCGTTGGCTGTTGGCGGTGGCGGTGGCGGTGGTGTCGATAGTACTGTGCACATATTGCAGCGGTTACTTTCCATTGCCGCCTATGAGCTGTCAATTTCCAACACTGACACTTTGAAAACAAGCATGCCGTAGTAAATAAAAGCCAACTGACTCAACGGTCATCAGTTGGTCGATCGAAGCAACAGGGTCGATCACTGCAACAGCCGATTGATCTATCTACCAGCCGATTGATCCACCAGCCGCTGGTGGCTTCGCATAAAAAGTAAAGCCAATGACCGCGCGGCGGAAAAAAATATAGCCAACGCTTTGAGACGAATTAATTTTCTGTGAAGCTTTAATGAGCAGCAGCAAGCAACAGAACAAATGTGAAAATATAGAAAAAAGCCAATGACTTTTTTTGTGCGCATCATCGGCCAGTCGCAGGAACATCTATGGGAAAATCATTAGATACAGCAGCCGTTCACCGATATTTCCTAACACACAGTCAACTACCAGGAGAGCAACAGTATGTATTAATAATAACAACAACAGCAATGAAGCAGCTGCACCAGCTACGCTTAGCCTGTCATTATAAAGCCACCGCATATGGTGGGGCTTGACATCGGCGGACAAACATAGTTACAGACATACTTAAATGGAAATAGACTTGTTTGGTAAGCGATACTGCACAATTGTCGTCGATCATATCGATCTTGCTGCCAATCACCGATCCGCTGATCGCCAATTGCCAATCAACAACCCGGCTAGAAATTATAGCTCTATTTTACAATGGCCCTAGCTCGATTCACCCCTTTAAATTCATGGGCCTTCCAAGAAAAGTTTGGCCAGGCCCTTGATGGTTTGTTAATGCTTTGGATTGATTGGGCCCTGGTAGCGAATTCTATGCTGGAGCGAGGCAGATTTGCCAAAGTAGGCCCCAGCCAGAGGGCTGAACTTTGCTTTCATGGGCCTTATAAGAAAAATCTAACTGGGCCCTTGCTAGCGATGTTTATGTAGGCCCTAGACAGATTTTTTGAGACGCTCTAGGTGAATAAAAAATAAAGAAATGCTTTTTTTGAGAATATGATTATTATTGTAATTAAGTATGTACAAAGTTGAATTTTGTTTTTTGCTTTTGCTTATTCTTGAACGCCTGATCTTCTGTTCTTTGTCCGTCCCAGTCTTTCGCGTTCGTCAGACACGAACCCAGTAAATTTGCGAATTCCTGATCGCAAATATGTTCATCTTCTTTTCTTGTCGTATTAATAAAATCTGAAGAATAAACAAAACGATTATTTTTGTTACTATACATGTGAACGTGTGTATGCAATGTGTCTTTATACATATATGCACATAGCTAAGCCCCGCAAATATATTCGGAGAACCAAAAAAACTTTTAAATATGCCTCTAAAAAATTTTAGTGTCCCAAATGAGGTACATAAGGCCACATATGGCCCGTGTATTTTGAATGTGGCATAAGTCACTTCATATCTCTTGTGCTTAAATGACCGGTTACTTGTAACCGAATGCATTTGTAAATCATTCTATCGTCATAAACTAATGACAAAACCTTTTACCTTTGGCTGATGAAGTTGCACGAATAACCGGCATGTTCAGATACAGGTAACCGGCCATTTAAGCACAAGAGGTGTGAAGTGACTTAAGCGGCTCATATATAACCGCGTCTGAGTTTAGCACATTATGAGAGTAAGCGCTCCGAGCTGGGGACTATAAATATTTGCTGGAAAACTCACCGAATATGATGCTGTAAATTTTATTGTGTTCCTTTTTGAAAATCTGTTTCTCCGGA